CCCTGACGGAGGAGCTGGGGACAATCACGTCCGTCTTGGGCACTTGGGCAAAGCAGGACTCCGCCTTCTCCAAGTCGTCTGTGCCCACGGCCGGCCTGGTTGGATTCCTGTCGGATGCATCGAGTGATGAAACGTGGGACGACGCGTACCGCTGCCTGAACGCAGTTGTGACGAATGGAAAGAAGGTCAAAAATGGCTTTGAGTTCACTGGGCCCGAGTCCGGCGGAATGTGGCCCGTTAACATGTGGCAGTATGGTAACGTGTACGGCTTTGTGAATTACGCGTTTACGCTTGTGGCGACGGCGACCATCCAGCAGGTTCCGAAGGAGAGCGCGCCTCTGCTGGGTGCGAGTCTGGAGGACTATGGCAGCACGAAGTTCGTGGGGCTGGCGTACACTGCGGCGAAGAAGTGGGAGACGGTCTTCAACGGCGCGGCAACAGCACCCATCGGCGGCGGCGGTGACTGGGAGCCGGGGAAGGAGTACCAAGTGGCTCTTATGCTTCAGGGCAACAAGGGCTCGGTGTACGTGGACGGCGAGCTCGTGGGGAGCTCCGAAGCGCTGCCAACACCCGAGGCACGGAGTTACAAAGTTTCTCACTTCTACTTTGGAGACGACGAGGGCGGCAGTGTGACGGTGACGAACGTCTTTTTGTACAACCGCCCGCTGAGTGCCACGGAACTCAAAATTCTCAACGACGCATATGGTAACAGTACAGGCGACAGCTCCATGCGTGCGGATGGGGCTTGGGTGCTGCTACTCCTGCTGCCACTGGGGCTATGGGGCATTGCGGCCCTCTCCTGAGCGAGGCACAGAGGAGGGGAAGTTTCTTCTTGCAGTGCGAGCATATACGTCTTTGCACGCACCCTGCAAAATGATTGATGTCCCTCGTGGAAACTCTCCCCCTTTTTTTTCTGTTATATTAAGTTGCACCTCCTTTTCCGCTATGCGTCACTGTTCTTTGACGCACCAACGCGATCCTCCCTTGAGGCCAGCGCGGTGGGGCCTTCGTATGTTTTCTCCTTTTTTCTCTCCTTCATTTTATACGCTTCTGAGGATGATGGGTATATTCACCGCTTCCATTGACCAACCGCGAACGATCCCGGCGTTGTGTGCACTGCCGATGACGCCGTGCGTGAATTCGTCAAGGGTATTTTTTTATTATTTTCATTGTATACTTCATGTTTTGCCGCTGCCTGGGCCGTGGTGCCACATCGTGTCTCAGTTGTCTCCTGCTTCCTCCCTTCTTTCCTGCAGCGTTGCGCGTGTGGGTGTTTGTGCGGCCTCGCATGTTTTGCTCTTCTCCTTTTTTCGTTGCGTGGCTGTAGGCGCACACACACAGGTCGTCGCGATATCTAGTTTTTGTGGTTCACGTGGATGCTGCTGCCTCCTTCCGTGGTGATGAAGGAAAGGGAGAGACACTGCGAGGAATAGAGGGAGGGAAAGTGCGCCGTGCCTGGCTTTCTCTTTCCTTGCGGGGTGAAGGGCGCTGCGTGTGGCAGTTGTGCCTTGAAGTGCGGCACCATTAGCTGAAAGGACGTGTGACGGTGCTGTGTAAAGGGCCTAGCGGTGGGTGGCTGAGGACCAGTTTCCCGTGCTTGTGCGTCTGGCGGGTGTGGGTCTTCGCGTTGGGTGTCTTGTGTGCTGGTGGGGAGGCCGCGCAACTGTTTTCTGCGGCTGCGGGTGTCCTCCTCTTCGT